TGGTGTTGATATCAGGAATCTTACTGCCACAGTCCAAATAGAGTACTAATTACTGCGAATGATGTCACCGTAGGCAGAGGAATAATCCCATCATTTAATTAGTTGAATGATTTAAACAAAGATTTGCATAGATGCACTAATCAGTTGCCATGAATTACAGAGCAGCAGTTGCCAGCGAGGGGTAACAGATCATACAGTTGGAGGGAAAAAAAAATCTCATCTCCTTGAACATAATTAATTTAATTGTCCTCATTAGCTGTACCATTTGTTTTGATTTTATTTCTCCCTTTCCCCACACATACTTCTCCCTCCCTCCCTCTTTTCTTCTTCTCAGTGCATTGGCTGAGGCAGAGTGCATGAGACACACACACATGCACACACACACACACACACACACACACACACACTGGGGTGTTTTCAGAGTGGCTCTAGCACAGAGGTGGGGTAGAACAGCGGGGACCTGTGCGGATGGCTGAAGTGCATGTATGCCTGCTTAGACGGGCCAGAAAAGCCAAACTTAAGAAATCTGCCTATGTACAGAACAAGTCAGCTAAGGGGTTCTCATTAACCTGCCGTCTGTGAATATCGTTATTTTTCAGGTTAGTTCTGAGTTCTGTTGCCTTTTAAAGGGAAAGGAAAGCAAACCACATGCTATTTTATTACGAGCCTTCAAAAGGGAGGGGGTAAAAAGTAGTGATCAGTGTTGTGCCTTTATTCTTTATGAAGAAAAACATAATTTAGCTTAAATACTCATGGGGGGGTGCTTTTATTTTTTTTCTTTTAAACTAGAACTAGATCAAAATTGATGATCCAGAGAAGATAAAAAAGCTTTTTTGTAGTTGGACAATTGAATCTTTCTTGGTTCTTAAAACGTTTCAGTGAGTGTCATTCAAATGTGGACCATTTTTAAGCTTGACCTCTGAGGAAGCTTTGTAAAATCTGGTGAGGGTACTTTAAGAGCAGCCCAAAGAGAGGATGACTTTGAAGTCTGAAAACTTAGAAAAATAATAAGATATTTTAAAGCTACCAGTAGCCTCTATAGATGTTACGTAAAGTTAAGAGGAGAGGAGGTTAGAGAGAAGGGGACCTATGTGAAGACAAAAATATCTGTCGAGGCCTTCAAACAAGCTTATGAGGACAAAGAGGTAATGGTGGAGAAACTATGGCTCTTTGACCAAGTTAGTCCTGAAAACATGTTTCTCGGTTTTCTGGGGTGTTTTTCATTGGAGCATGTGTGTTTTAAATGGTAAGGAATTCAAGTAATTGCAGGAAGTGTGTTTCGGGGCGGTGGTGGGTGGAGGAGTCAGCGTTAGTGAATGGAGAACAAGTTCACAGTTTGGGTCCTGGGCCACTAGAGGAAGGGAGGACGGGGAGTGTGTGTGTGATCTCCTGAGCCAGGCTTGTGTGGCTGACTCGCGGAGCAGCGACTTCAGAGAGTTCATGAATGGGAGTCACAGAGAGACCGGCCACTGCGGCCACCTCCAGACAGTTCCTAAAGGGAAGGGTCGTGTGCTGGTAGCAGTTTCATTCTCTTGCTTTTATTTTAATTTCCATAATTGGTAGCTGCAGAGATGGCTTTGGAAGGCAATTTGCTTTAAACGTAGCCACCTATTCCAAAATGCCCTGGTTATTTTAGGAACCCTACCCCTTTCCTCCGGAGCTGTCTCGCAGGAGTTCCTGTGGACGGGTCCAGGAGGTAGGGTCCTTCCTCAGTCGACTCCTGCAGAGGTCACATTTTGTGTGCGGGGTTGTCCCCAGCGTTTGTGAGTAGCATATGCATGTGGTTGTGCTGACTGCACTCGCAGGCTTGTAAATTTTCACCCTGGGAAATTAGCAACAAAGCCCGATCTGTCTCGTGGCTGCTTTGCACTTTCCGAGGGCGGCTGTACTTGACTGAGCTGCAGAACGAACAGGCACACGAGAGCGAGCGAGGGAGCCAGCGGGAGAGGGAGGGAGAGAAGGAGAGAGGGGAGGGGTGGGGGCGAGAGGTAAATAGTCTTAAATCGGAAGGGAGCTGCTTCTCTGTGGTCTTGACAAGCGCTGCCTGGGCTCCGCCGGCTCAGTAATAACTGAGTGACCTTTTCTTTGGCTGTATTATGTCTGGCTGGGAAGGGATTGCATTTTGCAGCTGAGAGCCGGAGCTTCCTTCAGCTCGGCTCCTGGCACGCTGCTGGGGTAAGTTGTCTTGAACCAGGACGCAGAGAGACAGCCTCGGACTGCAGTTGCCTAAAAGGAGGACACCTGTGGCTCAGATGCGGTCAACACCATTGCTTGGCGGATCCTTGAGGACCTCATTATTTTAAACTTAAAAAAAAATAGACATTCCCTCCCCCGTCTTTTTTTTTTTTTTTTTTTTTTCAAACAATGCTTCTTTTTGACCTTTCCCAAGGAGAAGCGCTACAAAGCAGCCACTGTGCTTACTGAACGGCCTCCCCCTGTATCGCTTAATTGAGAAGGTAAGTGCAGCAACTGTGTACACACGCGTCGGCTTATTTGTGGTGTGTGTGTCTGCGGGTGCGCGCGTGCGTGTGCGGATGTGGGTATTTTTTTCTTCCCCAGCCTCTGCTAATGAGGCATAAACTGAAGCTGCAACCCAGCTCCGCACTGCAACTTTCACTCGGGCTGCAGCTCTACTGAGACGGTTTCGCTTAAATCATGTGAGGCTTCATTATTTTTATGATGAGACATGAAATAGATGCAGGCGGAAGACGTTGATGGAAGGACGGAGAGCGGCTGCGGCGCGAACGTCTCAAGTACGACTCGAGTGGATAATAGTCAAAGTTCACCAGGAACTGCAGTATTTCCACACCCCTGACTCCGGGGGAGAGAGGGGCAGGGAGAGTTTGGAATTAGGAAGTGTTTGCTCCCAGCCCGCTGGAAACGAATTCGGTCCTGGGTGGGTTTCCGGACCCCTCCCCCTTACTTGCTGGAATTCATACCCACCCCAGCCCCCCACTTCTTAAAGAGTTGAAATTACAGTCTTTTGGTCCTGATTGACACTCCTGCCTGTCCCACGCAGCCATAATAACAAAATGTTCTTTTGGGGTGGAAAAGTGACTGTGTTTTGGGGTGGGGGTGTGGGGGCAGAAGTGGCCAGGAGAGGGGAAGGTCCCTGGACCGAGGTGTCTGTGTCCTACTAAGGATGAGATTGAAACTGATGTAGCACATTTTTTACGGGGGCTACCCAGATTGCTGTTATGAAATACTAGTCAGATTTATGATCTATTTCATATTGAACATGCTATGCTATGCTAACGCTGCATGTGACACTTTAATCAAATCCATTTGTTACCAGGAAGCTAAAAGGGGCCGCTGGGATTTTAGGATTACGGGCAGAGTTAGGGAAGCATGTGGCTTTGTCATTCGCCATCATTTTGCACACTGAGAGGGGCTCCGGGTGTGCGCCCTGTCTTGTCTGGCCGTTCTCATCCCTTCCCCCACCCCCTGCCGCCACTCCGACCCGCTCCCAAAGTGGCTTCACAATAGTCGGTCCTCGGCGGTGTAGGCTGCGCACCAGGTCCACACTTAAGCGAAATCAAGGAGACCCCCTTCTACTTCTACCTTTGGGCTTGGTGCTCAATGCGAAGCTGCTGCAACTCAGGCACGCCTAAGTCAACTCATGCAGAAAAAGGAGAAAAGTTTTGGTAAGGTTATAATCTATCATCGATGCACTTTGCCGGCGCTCTGCACTCTTGGCTGCTCAAATGCCTTTCTGCTCTTCCGCTGCTTTTGTGTCTTTCTGAAAGATCCGAAATATTATTGTTGTAACTGCTTTGAAAGACTGCTGCTTAAACCAATTAATCATGCTAGATGCAACAAATACTGCTACATTCTTTGCGAACCATCCCTGTGTGGCTGCAAAGACACAACCACAAAAGGCTGGAGCATAAACTCCGCAAGGGATTCTTTGTTAGAGTGTATGTATGTTTCTTATTTTTTTTTTTTTTTATTTTGCATGTGAGCTGCATCAAAATTGAACTCAGTCTTGCAAATCTCTTGTTGGCCTTTGCCAAGCACTAGCACTTTGCTGCCATGGTAACTGTAATTAAACTGATAAGAGTGGAAAAATGTCAGTATCTCTGAGCCTTGCAGCTGCATTGGAGAAAAAGGGAATCAAATTGGTTCCCAGCTCCATTGCTCAAAAAGGGGAGGGGGGGGGTGAAGGGTAGGGAGGGAGACTGGGAGTTGAAGGGGCAGAACTGAGTTAAGCAGCTCCAGTGCCTGAGATCTGGGGACATCTATTTGCATTGTTGTCCCTTAGGGGGCTGCAGCCTGTAGGGATGCTCTGGGCCAGTGAACAGAGAGAAACAAGCTTTTAGGCCCAATCCAGTTTTCCAACCTGTGTTGGGGGCTGGGAAGAGGATGAAGATGGGCAGGAGGAGAGAAAACCTTTTGTCTGATACCTCTTGGCAATTGAATAGCCATGTTGGCCAAATTCTTTTAATCTGTGTCAATGCTCCCAGCTGCAGAACCTGCATTCCCATTTTAGCATCTTTCTGAAGCACCTCATCTCTTCCAACCCCCTTTATGTATTCCCTCTTCCTGCTCCCTCTCCCAAATTGTTCTCTGTGAATTTTCCGACAGGGACAAAATGTTTTCTATTCACTCTGTGTAGTTAGCCCAAAAATATTAAAAACTGTGTCTAAGTGCTGCTAATCTTTGATTATGGTTATTATTATTTTGCAAACCCCTGTGTGTTGTGGAGTTGTGGTTACTTTGTTGTGTTAACTACTGAAGCTGAGACTGTGCGGATGAATGGCACAGAACAAGGGAGCATAATGGAGGCAATCAACCGTTAGGCCGCCTCACAATGCAATCCAGGCAATTAAAAGCTCACCAGAGTTTAAATGAAATGGTTCTACTTATTTCTGCACACCACACTGCACAGGCTATTATTTATGTCTTTTTTTTAATTATGATTTCCTTTAAACTGTCAAATAACTCAGAATGGCAGGGTCTCAGAGGCAATAAGAATTTCCCTCAGAACAATTTACGTGCCAATCTGAAACTAGTTATGAGTTCTGATGTGCTATGAGCAACTTGTGAAATGTTTCTTAGCTACGAACACGTTAGTCTACACAGACATGTTCTGGAGGAAGGGGGAGGCCTCTGACTGCTTTATGCCTTTTAACTACACAGTAACATGGTGACTACAAAATAGTTCTTTTGCTACAATTGTTAACTGGCATGGAATTCATGAGATTCCATTTTCAAGAGAAATGCCATGATGTTCTCTAAAAGAAGGTACCAGGATGGAGTGTAAAATATCAAACTCCTTTTATGCCCAAGGCCAAACAGAATGTAAGAGTTTCAAATATTAATTGGCCTCTGAGTGCTAAATTAAAATGTCAGCACAACAAAAACACTTTGTGAAGACAAGTAGGTAGTGTTACTTGTGCCAAATGTGGGTATCCCCTGTCTTGGTTGCAAAGCATTTTGAATAAAATAGCTGACCTTCTATGCTTGATGACAGAAACACAGCTATGGGAAACATAGCTTAGCTGCTGCTAAGAAGGTTTTTCTGGGATTTTATTTTTTAGTTTTTCATCTTTGAGTCTTGTGATAAATAAAAACAATGGCCTTATAAATTTAATAGAATGGCCATTAATTAGGATGGCTAATGGCTTCTCTTAATATTTATTATCTGGATGTTTTCAGTAACAGCATCCAGAATTGCACTGAGTAAATCAAAACTTTCCGCTCCCCGCCGCCCAGGTATATGGTTAACGGGCACTTGGGTCTGTTGTTCTCTGTAATTAATGGGATTCATTCCTTGTGGAACCTTGCTAGAAGAGGAAAACTAGTTCTGATCAAAGAAACTTCATTTCTTAGAAGTTCTGGAGAGTGAGATTTAGCAGAGCTATCAAGGGTTATGATTAATCTACACTAGGCCCTTAGCTCCTTCAAAGGAAAGGAACAGAAAGCAGACTATGGGAATACCACCTGCTCTTCTTGCAAATCCAGCTGTTAGTCTGCGGCTCCGGTGACTACAGCTATGCTTATGATGCAGAAAGAAAGAATAGCTACCCTACACAACTCTACCAGACAAGTTATTTTCTAAGGAAAGTTCGACATCCTAACAATATTTTGTGCAACTCATGTATTATTTGTAGTTAGAAAAGTTATTCTGCTCTGTGGAAGCCTTGATGTCTCTTATCAGTGCGATTCTTTTTTTAAAAAAAGGTTGTGATGGGGTTGGAAGCCTTCATCATAAGGTATTAGAGGAAACTGGAGGAGGTTTAGCTGTTTGGGAAAACAAAAATGCACAAAGCTGCAGATTATAGATTGGCATTTCTTTTCCGGTAACGTATGCACATTTGGTGTTTTGTATCCATCTACAAGCAAGTTTAAAACTTTCTGCCTAGAAGAGCAAACATAATTCAGAAGAGGGGTCTCTGGCCTGTAAGAAGACCATTTGACTGGAGTCTACAGCTTAACTGTCTTTCAGCTTCGAACAAGTCTGTGAACCTCTCTTGGGCCTCTGTAACACAATTTGGAAAATGAGGGAATTTGAAATTGATGACGTCTGCAGTACTTTATGCTGCTTAGAATGAGTGATTTGATAAATATGAGGCGTTGGATAGTTGGTCCAGCTTCTTGCTAAAGCTGGGTGTTTAATACCTAGGAAATAAGAAGACATTCAAAGGTGAATATTCATTCATTCAAAAGCTTTCAATCAAACTGGAAAACCCATAGAACCCAGCTGGATTCCTTATTTATGATGGATATGCATCTTTAAAATACATAAATATTCCTATGTTTAGCATAATACACATATAATATGTATATATTTACTTATATATGTTTGTATAATTGTATATATATTTAGATCTTGCATTCTATTGTTTTTTCTTTCCTCTATAAAACAAATGTGTGTGTTTATGGTAATAAATTATATAATCATATACTTTAGGTTTATGTAAAAACATATAGTATATAGTTAAGTAATCTGTCATTGATATAGGTGCTGACTGATGCTTGTGAGTATAAATATTCTATTTGAACACAACGAATACTTTGAAATATCAAGGACCTAGAAGGAAGTATTTGGATGCAAGCAAGCAATACTGGATTGGTGAGCTTTTCGGGTAGCTGTTCTGTGTACTGACTATAAACACCTCCACTGCTGAATAAGGGTAGTGTCATCCCACGCCAGGTGCACTCCCCTTCCACCATCAAGCACATATTAAGTGAAATTTTTAAACAGTTAAGCAAAACTCATTTTTTCCTTCTGTGGACTGTGCGTAGATTAATTTCTTCAGTAGCTTTCTTTTCAGATGGTTATTTACTCACATTTTCTTTCTAAAGGAACTGCTCTATGGGGAGAATGAGAACACTATAAAATTATTTAATATTACTGAACTTCATGTTTATAATGTCAGTTTACCATGGTCAACGTGAATTCATTGTGATTACCACTTGGCATTTGTAACTTCTGAATGATTTAATAAGCACTTGACAAAGTTTGAGCCGTTTTGTTTCCAAAATTTAGTTTGATTTCAGGATAGCCCTAACCAAGAAAAGCCAACACTCCTAGAAAAAGGAAATACTAAATATTTAACTTGTTTGAGGTCTTTTGACATCTTTTTATTCTGTCGGGTAGTCTCAGCTCTCTGTTTTGCTTTTGTCCTCCTTTAGGTATACAAATGCTCTCAGTCCAGCCAGACACCAAGCCGAAAGGTTGTGCTGGCTGCAACCGAAAGATCAAGGACCGGTATCTTCTAAAGGCACTGGACAAATACTGGCATGAGGACTGCCTGAAGTGTGCCTGCTGTGACTGTCGCTTGGGAGAGGTGGGCTCCACCCTGTACACTAAAGCTAATCTTATCCTTTGTCGCAGAGACTATCTGAGGTAGGAATTATCCTTGCACACCAGTGATGACTGGATGCCTTTTAAAGTACTTTTGTAAGTGTATTTTTTTGTTTGTTTGTTTGTTTCATTGCCTTCCTGCCAGCTTATATTGCTGAAAAAGGTTGACCTGTCAGCCTTCAAAACGTTGCCTTGTGTGTGTTACTCAAATCAATGCTTAAGGAATAGCCAACAACCCACAATATTTAAAGTATTTCTATTTGGCTTGCCCGTACACTCCTATTTAGGAATTGGTTATGGCATTGCCTATATTGAAACTACCAGTTAGTGTCAAGGATGGATGTAGAAGCCAGCATTCAAGTTGATTTATTTATTTATTTTTCCTTTTTTTTTTTTAGAGTTTAAGGGGGAATGTAGGCTGAGCATAACACAAAGAAATGAGTCAGACATTTGGCAAAATATCTTAACTCTTTATTTTCAAAAAGTTTAACTTGAAAAAAGATGGATTATGTAAAATAGTGTAATTGTTGCCTGTTAGTTGGACCTGAATTTATTCTTCTAAAGTTATTCAGCTGTCCTTTCTGTTTCAGGTTTGTCAGAGGAAGTCAGGTGCAAATCCTTGAGTAATATTTATTAGTGCATTTATTGCAGAGTTGTGAAAACTTTCCTCTTGTGTAGAGACATCTGCCCCTTCCCCACCCCGTCCCATGACATTCTAAATGGTAATCTCAAAAATATAACTAAGCACTGAATCCCCTCAGACTTTATGGATAATAGCAAAGTAAAGACTTCCATCATTACAGGGAAATGACAGCCACTCTCCAACCTGTAAACATCTGAACGTTTTCAGGACAAGGCAGGTATTCTTGGTGATGAAGCCGCGAGGCTGACTAAAGCTTGTTTTCCAGCATTAAGTACTCAACACAGAAATTCTACTGAAGAAAAATTATTTTGCTTTTCAGGCCACTTTGTGACTTACTTCAGCTGCGAATTACTTATATTAATAAAGTGGGATCTATCAAATTACAGATGATATATAGCATCATTGGGTTTTCATATTTAATACAATTAATCATTTTTCTAGTCTGACATTAAGCGATTTATTTGGCATTTTTTTCCTTTCTGACAAAATTTATCAATCAACAGTAACTTCTTAAGTACCTTGATCATTTGGTGAGGTGTTTTCTAGGGAATTTGGTTCTTCTTAGTATATAATTCTGCTATTTTTAGTCAGATCCAATCTTTAGATATAAAATATATATATCGTTTGATTAATGGTAGTTACAAGAGGGTGAAAGCAGTACTGTTTATCAGATTCTGCTCTTTCTCGCTCTTAGGACGGCCTCATCTGACAGCCTCCTGACTAATTATGGCCACTTGTTACTACTTCTTGTGTTCCAAGTGCATAAAACACACGCAAGGTGCCAACAATGAGAAGTCACTCTCTCCAGCCAGGATTTCTCTCATTGTGTTGGCACAACTAATCAGAATTAATGTCTTATGTGCATTATTTTAGAACTCTCTAGTCTTTGAACTTTTCTCTTTGAAATAAAAATTTCTTTTCTGCTCATTTGTATTTGCTTTTAGTGATTTAATACTGCTTTTTGGTTTCGCTTTATCTGTATTAACCAACAGTTACAGCTTTTTGACTCCATTTGACTTTTCCATTGGTTTGTAATTTCAGTATCTCAAGTGGATTTATGTTACCCTTTCAAATAAGGAGTTCGTATAGCCCGGGCAATGTTAAGGTGTTTTAATAAACCAAAGGACAGACATTAAGTAAACTTGAAAGAATGTCAGTTGAAGTATCTGGGGGTTTTTGAAAACCAAAAATAAAAATTTGCCAAGGAAATACCTATATTGTGAGTATAACATGCTTTGTAGTGGTCAGCATACTAGCAAGCAGAGACAGTGATGTTAGATTTGTTTTGCTTGATTTTTCCTTATGGTAGTAAAAGTATATGATTTTAAACTGGTGTTTGATAGTCTCAAGTGTTTTGCTAAAGAGCATTTATCCAAATAGTTTTCATATCAGAAGTTTTTATATCTCTATAAGAGTGTGTGTAGCTTTTGTAGAATAACTTTTACATTACTTCCTCTCAGGCTCAAACTTTCGATGCTAGTTAACTTATTAAAAGTATATAATATTCTTTCAAATATAAACCCTGGTCCTGATTGGCAATATATTCATTTCTCAGAGTACAATTTCCTCTTAAATTGGTCATTACCACATTAATGGCGGTTGTTATGTTAACAGCCTAAGGGCTGTTAACGTTTCAAACTGAGTTGTTAACAGGAATCTTATCCCTTATTTAACTGAAGGTTTGTTGTATATAATGTGACTTGTTTGGCAACTGCATAAACACTTGCAGTCGCAGAAGTGAAATGGGGAATTGCTGTGTGTAAAATACTGTGCTACATGTTATAGATTATGACGCAGATGTGGTGTTTAGTTTTATGTGGAAAGCATGTGTTTCAGTGAAATTTTGTAGATGTTCAGCAGCCCGTGTCTGTGATTGGCAAATTAAAATTGCCTGATTCTGTATGTTAAATCAACAAATATAGTCAAGCAGATTTTATTTACAAATTAATTTCTTTGATTATGTATAGACATTCAAAAATGTATATTAAATGCTTACTGTGTGAGAGGTATGATTTCAGGCAGTGGATGAAATTAAGGGAAAAAGGGAGGCACACCTAAAATTCTTACTATCTACTTGTTATTTAATTACATAGAATCTGCAGTGTAATCAGTGAACAAGTAGTATTCTGTGGCTATTTTCCTGAGCTTTCAAAGTAATTTTTCTCATTTCCCTCCAAACTCAGCAGATTTCCATTTTATATGTTATACAACCAATGTTTAATCACTTAAGTTCTATTTTAAAAGTTTTTTTTTTTTATTTTTGGCTTTTGTATATTATGTAATATCTCTGAGGCACTGAACTGAACATAAATAACTTGCATATTTGTATTTCCCTGTCTAAATTACTGAGAACATAATTAAAGTAAGTAAAGCAATAAAGAAAACAGTAATTTGCCTGTACACGTAAATTGTTGGTTACAGGTATTGTCCTGGGCCAGGTAATTTTTTACATAAGATCAAAGTAAAATATTTTTGCCTGTTGTGTTTGGCTTCCTAACACTCTTCTCCCTCCATAAACAGAAAGCAAGAAAAAAACACTCCTAATTATGAGCAATGAGTCTTAAAGATCTGTGTTTTATTTGTATTACTTTGAGTAGTGATAATGATGATGTGCTTTGTAAGTTCTTTGAATGATGATTTGAGATGTTAGATAATATGAAAATATAATAATTTATTTATTTATTTTTTTAACTCCCTAAGTTCCTTAGCCTCCCAAAGTGTTGTGATTATAGGCATGAGCCACTGTGACTAGCCATCTTTTTTTCTGAAATCTACCTCCTTCTAGCCTGTGCATAAAATTTTCTAACATTGCAAGCTCTAGTGAAAGAATGCAATTTTCAATTAATAAAAAACCTGAAACTTCAATAAGTTCTTTACAAAAAGACAAACCCACAAAGAGAAACCTACAGAGGGGCAGTGCTGACTGGAACACAGTGATGTGTAATATAATAATTTAGACTGTAAGATATTTTCTTAAGACTTACAGAAACTATTATTGTGAAAAATTTATTTCCAGTTATTTTTTTCTCCTTTATGGCACTATTAGCTATATTGAAGCGGGGGGTGAGGTGGGGTGGGAAGAAATGTCTTCCATAGTTTGAATATCAAATCTTAACAGTGGAATTTTTCAGTTTCCATAACTGGGCTAGTATATCATTCATTTAGCTGTGGAACAGAAAATGCACATATCTGATGAGACAGAACTTGCCCATTTTGGGGATTACTTTTCTCCTTTGGAAACTCATTAGCTAAAGAAAGAGAAGGACTGACTTTTTAAAACTTTCTCTAACGTGTTTTCTGACTGAAATTATGAAGTCTACCCATTCAATATTTATATGCCAGGCAGACCAAGAAATGTATCTGTTAAAAATCTATCCAATGCATTTATAAATATTTTTATATTTTAAAGATTAGCTCATGACAAATTAGATATAGAAGCATCTTTGTACTTTAAGTTGGAGCTTAAAACTGATATTGTCTAATGTAGATTAAAAATGACTGTGTAAAACAGCAAAGTTTTAGTGCTGATGTTTAAGGCACTCATCCCTGCAATCTATCAGCCTTATTTCAGTTTGAAGAATAGAATAAAGTAGCCAGTCAGTGCATAATCAGAGTTTAGAATTAGGAATTCTGCATGCTTTTTTTTAAAGCTCTGCAACAATCATTAAATAGAACTAGAAGAAATACCAACATACTTTCCTTTTCAACTTGAAGGCAGTAAAGAATGTCAGAATGTAACCAGAACTCAACTTCTGGGCAGTTTTTTGTTGCTTTTTCTTTGAACCTTCAACTTCTTGTGACATACTTTAAGCATGAAGTTGACATAGGCTGTATGCATCTTGTATCTCTGTGAACGATGTCTTGCCAGCGTTTATTCAAAGCTGTTTGCTGTGGTATGTGCCACGGAAGCTGCTTATAGCTTTTCCTATATGAGAAGCTGTAAAATGTCTTATATAAAATTTAATGCAATTTGCTATTTTTATATGTGAGGATGATTTGTTTAAAATGAAACTACGGGAAAGAGTGATGCTTCATGCTTCACCATAGTTGCTAATTAACTAAAATGATTTGAGGCTTGCTATGCTGACTACACGTTTTATATGCTCTAATATAATAATATAATAACTCTATAAGAGAAAATAAAAATAAAATGCCACATAGAGCATATATTTAGCTGTAACTTTATCTCACATTGATCAAACCTGGTGCTTCTCAATTTTTATGTAAGTTCAACTTTATATTGGTACATAATTATAAGTATGAAGATACATAGGAATATCTTGCTAGTATTATTTCATCTGGTAATTTATCACAGATGTTTTTAATGTTGAATATAATATTCTTTTTATTTCATTGTCATATTTTTAATATTAATCATTTGGAAGTATTTTTCCTGTAA